TAAAATGGTTATACTGAGTTGTACCCACAACCCAGGGAATGAAAGGGCTTGCTTCAAACACCCTAAGCAAATCTGATAATTACCAATCTGGTAGATGAAAAATAAGAGTTTTAAAATTGAGATCTTGCCTCCCCTTCCTTCCTTTTAAGAGAAATCAAACATCTTTAAAGTTTTTTTTTTTTTGACTATTTGTTCCCTCTTCCATGAATTGCCTATTTTTTTATTTTGCTCATTTCCCTTTTGGGGGTTCTTATTGATGCTTAGGAATTGTTTATATATTATGGCTATTCACACTTTATAATACTTTTTTATACATGCTGCTAATACTGTCTCTGATTTTTTTTTGTCTGGTAACTCTGATTTTGTCCTTTTCTGTAATGAAATTAAACTATATGGTCACATCTGTCCCTGTTGTACCTTATGGCCTCTGAATTTCCTATTGTGCTTAGAAAAACCTTTCCTACCTCAAAAATTTATATGTATAAATATATCTCCTTCTAGAATTTTTATGGTTTTTTTAATGTTTAGACCTTTAGTTTATTCTGAATTTTGTGTTTTATTTTTAATTATAAAGTGACATGTTTATTGTGAAAAAAGATAATATAGGAAAAGCCTAAAAAATATTTTGAGTTAATGAATATGTTTTTTAAAAAGATGACACTGTGCAAGTTGCTTTGTAACTTGTTTTTTGCACTTACTAGATAGTAAACATCTTTCCATGCCATTAAATATTTGTGTATAGCATCATTAAATTTTACATCAGTGACATAATTTTAAATGACTGCTTAGTATTCCATGTTTTTTGTAGTATGCTTATCTTTTTCTTACTGATTTGCAGGGTCTGTTTATACGTAAAGTATCCTGCCCACTGTGTAGTATATATGTGTTACAAATGTATTTTTTCAGCTTGTTGGTTCTCTTTACATTTTGTTTATGATGTTGCCATTCAGAAACTTCAGATTCATTTAAATTCAAACCACTGATCTTTCCCTTAATGATTTATGACTTTGGGGATCACATTTGAATGTTCTTCCCTAACCAAACATCATATATTCATTTGTATTTCTATTGTCATAATTTTATGGTTTTATTTTCTCGCTTTAAGTTTTTAATTCATTGGGAGTTTACTCTGGTGTGAGGTTTGAGTCTGAGATCTAACTTAACATTTTTATCAAAAAGAGGTTATCTCAATGTGACCCTGGGATGGGGTGTGGACTTCTGAGGCCAGTTTCACCATGAGGATAAATCCACAGGCTTATTGGTGACTCTCTGTACTCTCACTCTCTACCAGGCCTTGGAGACCCGGGCCAGCCCTGGCCACACCCCAGGCTGTGTCACCTTCGTCTTGAATGACCACAGCATGGCCTTCACGGGAGACGCCCTGCTTATCCGAGGGTGTGGGCGGACTGACTTCCAGCAAGGTCACAGGCTTCTTTCCCCAGCCCAAGATCTTAGAATGGCTATGTGGGTGCCAGGGTTTTAAGCATCAGTTGCAAGAATGAATGAATGAATGAATGTTAGACTTTTGGGGGGCCAGGATTAGATTCAGAGTTTAGCGGTTGGGGAGCTGGGTTCAGGGCTTAGCCGCTGGGAGACAGGTTCCAGAGTATATGTTAGTTATCTATTGCTATAAAACAAATCATCTCAGAACCTCGTGGCTTAAAACAATGATTAACATTATCTTATACAGGTTCTGAGAGTTAGGACTCTGGGAGCAGCTGAGTTGGATGGTTCTTGCTCAGGGTCTCCCATGAGGTTGCATCCAAGCTGCTGGCCTGGGCTGCAGTCATCTGAAGGCTTGACACGTGCTGGTTGTTGGCAGGAGGCCTCAGTTCCTCACCACGTAGACCTCTCCATAGGGCATGCGCGAATGTCTTCATGACATGGCAGCTGGAGTCTCCCAGTGGGATCAGAGACAGACAGACAGAAGCCCTAATTTTTGTTTTTAATGACCTAGTCTCAGAAGTTAAACTCTTTTATTTCTGCAGTATCCTAGATGCAAGTCACTTAGTCTAGACTAGTATGTCAAGGTAAGGGGAATTAAATGTCATATTTTGAAGAGAAGAGTTTCAAAGCGTTTGTGGACGTATTTTTAACACCCCCCCCCGCTAGGAGGGGTTTAGCTGGTTGGGGGAAGGGTGTGGAGTTTGTTTCAGGAGTTTAGATTTAGCAGTTTATTAGATTTAGCAGTTTAGCTTCTAGGAGGTTGTTAGATTCAGTAGTTTAACTGCCAGGAGGTGGTGGTACATTTGGCATTTAGCTGGGGGTGGGGATTAGATTAAGGGTTTTCTCCATGGGGAGGGTGTTTAGTTTCAGAACCTCAGCTCCCCTTTGCGTGTGAGTGTGAATGTAAGGTGGACAGTGGATCGGGAGGAGTAGCTGCCTTGCAGCAGGTGGGCGAGTTGGGGTGAGAGAGGAGAGACAGAGCCACAGTGACCTGGCAGGGGGTAACCAGATCCCCAGGTTGCTTCTTGCTTCCTCTTTCCTTATCTCTCCATCTTAGTCTCTGTCTTTTTCTCTCTGAGGCTCCTACCCTCCCATTTATCCATTCCCAACACAGTCTTGGTGCTTCAGGGTCTCATCCCAACCTTATTTACGGCCATGGTAATTTTCTCACCATTCCTCAATTCTTTGCATATGCTCTTCCACCTGCCTAGAATGCCCTTCCCTCCCCTTCTCTACCCAGACTAAGGGCTGCTGGCAGAAAATGAGGGCAAGGGTTTAGCTACAGTGATTTTTTACTCTCCCACCCTTTTCTGAAGGGAAGGGGTTAGGGAGCTTCTCTCGTCCTGTTGCTCCTCTGACCTCTGAGTTTTCCCTCCACAGGCTGTGCTAAGACCTTGTACCACTCAGTTCATGAAAAGATCTTCACACTTCCAGGAGACTGTCTGATCTACCCTGCTCATGATTACCATGGTGAGGGCTTCCTGGAGGAGGTGTGGGATTTACATAACTTACTATTTGAGAGGGAGCTGTACCAAACTGCTGTAAGCCTCACAGAGCATGGAGACTACAACTTCCAGAAATCCCTCTGGCTGAAAGATCAAGTGCTTAGGTGTATGGAGTGTGGACATAGAAACTATGACACCTAGAATTCCAGAAGGCTTAGGCTCTCCTGAGACTTCCTCATAGAGCTTAGGGAACTGTGGGAAGCTGCATTTCCCATTGTGCCCATTGAGGGGGGAAAGCAATCTGTTAGTCCTTGGCCAGAGAGATACCCCAAGGCCTTCTAGGAAATGTAGTTCCTGGTGATTCAAGGTCTGGTCGAAATTCCTCCCCCTCCCTTGGCCATTAGGACTCACTGTGTCTACAGTGAAGGAGGAGCGGACTCTGAACCCTCGGCTCACTCTCAGCTGTGAGGAGTTTGTCAAGGTCATGGATGAACTGAAATTGCCCAAACCTCAGCAGATAGGTGAGTATTTGGGGCTCTGGACTCCTGGGTTTGAGGGAGGAGGTGCTGGGGGTCTGGACCCCTGGGTCTGAAGGGAGGAGGAGCACCAGGGCCAGAACTCTAGTTTCCCCAATAAGAAGGGCTATTAAGATTTCTAGGTCCCCAGTGGGGCATGGGGGAAGTGGGAGGGTCTGCCTGGGCCCCTTGATTTCACCCTTAGTTTCTTCCTTTCAGACTTTGCTGTTCCAGCTAACATGCGCTGTGGGGTCCAGACACCCCCTTCCTGACCTCGACTCTCAGGTTCTTATATCCATTAAGAATGTACTAGGTGGGGTGAAGGGAGAGGTGCCATGACTGGAGCCTCTCTGTTCTTCCCCTCCCTCACCAGCCTCTCTAACTTCTTAAATAAAAATCTTTTTTTTTTCCCTCTGAATCTGACTTCTGTTTTCTGGGGGAACCAACTGGGTTTCTAGGCTGAGGTGCCTGTGGTTAGTTCTGGTCCTTGGAGAGACCAGGGAGCAGGGTAGGGTAGAAGCACCGGGAGCCTGGAAGGAGGAGGTTTTCTAACTCACAAGATCAGAAGCAAACAGATATTTGGGGCAGGGTTTCTTAGTTCCTTGAATTAGAACACTGTCTTAAGTTTAAACCACTTCCCCGTGTGGGACCCAGGAGAAGGCATTTCACTTCTCTGAGCCTCAGTTTCCTCATCGGTAAAATGGAAATAATAGTACTAATAACAGGGTGTTGTGATGATCCTGAGTCCGTATGTATGAAGTGGTTGGCACACTGCCTGCATGGCAGACCTATCAGTGTTAACTATTAGCATTACTCTCATCTGAAATGATCTCCCAGGCACTTCCTAGCTTGAGTGACAGTACACCTAATGGTTAAGAACATGGACTTTCCAGAGGACAAATACGGTGTTAATATCATGTGTAGACTTTGCGTGCACTTGTCCTGCTCAGCCTAAGTTTCCTAATCCTAAAATGGAGATAATAGTCCCTTTCTCTATAGGCTGCTGTGAGGATGAAATAAATTAATGTGTGTAAAGTTTTTATATACATAGCACCTGACATCCAATAATCCTTTCTCACATTCCAGTTATTTTCCTGTTTTTGCCCAGAGAGGAAAGGGTCTGGCTGACACCTTTAACCTCTGCCCTCCACCCATAGTAAAGTGGGGGAGGTCACACTTCCCCTGTCTCTGGGCGGGTCTCCGACTCAGCCCAGGGCACCCCCTCCCCTTGTCCAGCTCCCCAAACCGGTCGGGGCCCTTCAAAAGGGCTCATTAGAGGGGAGAGGCCCCTGTCTCCACTCCCCTCTTCCCTTCTGGATTCCCAGGGTCTGGGCATTAGGGAGGTGCTTATACATAGGTGACCAAGGCGCCTGGCCCTCCAGGGGGCAGGAATGGGGGCGCTGGAGGCGGAGTGAGGGGGTCGTCATGCTGGGTTTTCTGAGGGTGGGGCCGGTGGGGCCGGGATGGCCAGATGTGGCGACTGCGGGCGGGGCAAGCTGGTCGTTCTCTCCTCCCTCCAGAGCTGTTAGACCTGTTGGCCCCCCCTCCACTTCCGGGCTGCTGGGGAGGGGGAACAGAGCAGCCTTTCTCTCCTCCCTCTTTCCCAGCCACCTGTCTAGTGGGCAGAAACGGCAGCGCCGGAGCGCAGAGCGGAGCGCGCCGAAGCCTGAACGGGTGAGGGGGCCGGGTCTGCGAGGGTGGAGGGGGCTGCAGTGCGGGAATCTCGCTCCAGGAAGAGCGGAAGACTCAAGCTCCTGGTTTGTCCAGAGAGAGGGAGAGCAGGAGTCCCGACTCCTGGATCCCTGGGTGAGGCGGCAGGGGCGCCGCTCCCTTACACAGTGGGGTCGGAGCTGAGATTACTGGACGGGAGCCCGGACTCCAGAGTCCGCGAAGGAGAAGGTGATAGGGTCGCTTAAAGTTGTCCAAGGGATTGTGCGGAGCTGCTGTGCGAGTGCAGGCTCGACACCTGGATAGCAGGGAGAGGCCGGCAGGGGGCGCCCTGGGACCCCGGACTCAAATTCCGGTCCCGCCTCCAGGGGCGTGACGCCCTAGGAGCCGTCGAACCTCGCCCCTAGAAACTCCAGGCCACACCTCCAGAATGCTCAGCCCCATCCTTTGAACTCATAGGCCCCACCTCTGGAGCACTCTCCCAGAGCCAGAGCTTACGAGGGGGGGCGCTCAGGGCCCTGGGCCACGCCCCCACGCTACCGGGCCACGCCCCCGGAACTCCAGGCCCCGCCCACCCGACAGGACCCCGCAGCGGCCATGGGGACGCGCAGCAACCCAGACGAGGGGACCCCGCCGCCAGAGTGCGACGCAGACATCCTATCTCAAGAGACCACTCGGCCTCAGGAGCACCCCGAGGACCCCCGCGAGCAGGAGGTGCCCGAGGCCCCTGCAGAGCTTCCGAGCGCCCAAAGAGTGGAGCAGCAGACGGAGGAAGAGGAAGAAGTGGGAGAAGGCAGCAGCACTGAGAGCAGCCGCGATGCGGTGAGGGACCCAGAGGGACAGACCTAAGTGGATGACAGTGAGATAGGTATCGAGAGACCTGATAGAGACCCAAAGATATGGAGACTCCTGAGAGCCAGAGACCCAGACCCAGAGCCAGAGACCCAGACCCAGAGTCAGAGAGACCCAGACCAAGTGAGAGAGCAGATAGACAGAGACCCAGAGACAAAGGAGACAGAGAGACAAAGATCCAAAAGAGACAGAGACACTGAAAGACCCTCAAAGAAACGGGGATAGAGACACAGAGAAACCCAGAAACAAAGATGCTCAGAGAAACAGAAATAGAGACAGAGAAACCTTGAGAGGGAGATACTCCGAGGGAGAAAGAGAAATAGCTATTCAGAGACAGAAGACAGACAGTAAGTCGGGAAGACAAACCCAGAGAAACAGGAGGAAACACTCAGAGAGACCCGGGGAAAGAGAAAGAGAGATGCAGGGCCTACGAGGATGTGACCCCAAGAGAATGGGACCTGGAGAGAGAAAAAGAAGCACTATCCTTGAGTTGGCTCTTTATCCCCTGTCCAGATTACGAGCCCCTGGCCCACCTCCTGGGGCCGAGCAGTTACCGGACCTGCACCCTTCCCTCCTCGAATGAAAGAGCGTGGTGGAATTAGGCCAACTCAGACCCTCCGAGTGGGGTATGGGGTGGGGAACAGACCTACTTAGTGACTGCAGGGGGCGAGTCCTCTTCAATTGACCACGTACTCTCCAACCTCAGGCCGAGGCTCCGCCTCCCGTTCAGACTCCGGCCACGCCCCCCGCACCCACCCAGTCTGGGGAAGGGGTGCGAGGGGCGGCACGGCGGCTTCGAGCACAGCAGCTGGAGGCACTGACTCGTGTGGCCTTGATGGAGCAGCGAGTGAAGGAGCTACAGCGTCAGCGGAAGGAGCTGAGGATCGAGGTGAGGCTGCAGAGCTCTTGCGAAATCTGGCCCCAACTCTTGGGGGACACTCAAGGCCAGGCTACCAGTCCTTTCCAACTGCTGCGGGAGCCGACTGGGCCTCCAGCTCCATCCGCCCTCCGAATCCAGTGGTTCAGATTCCCAGGTTTCTCACTCAGACCCAGGGGTCCGAGCCTCCAGCCCTCTCCTTACTCAGACCCAGGCCTTTGGGTCCCAGACCTTGCATTCTCTCCTCAGATGGAGGTGGAGGTGGCCCTGCTGCGGGGTGAGCTGGCTGGAGAGCGAGTGGCCGCTCGGCGGGAGGAGGAGCAGCTTCGGGAGCTGCTGGGGCAGCAGGTGGACGCAGAGCAGGGCGGCCAGGAGCAACAGGAACAGGTCTGTTCGTCCTGCTGGGTCTTCATCGTCAGTTTTCTTCCTTGTTGGACGGCTATGCCTGGTGGTGCTCCTAGGACCTGGGCCCTAGGTTATCCCCATTCCCCAAATGGGGATACTTGGGCTGGGGATGGGGAGGTGGGCGTATGCCTCTCCTTGTTTTCCTCCGTCCTCCCTGTCCATGATTTTGGGACCTGGCTGACTGGGGCATCTTCCTTTGCCTCATCCCTCTTTGCTCTTTAAATGTCACATTGTGAAAAAACTCAAACCAACAAAAATAGAAGTCAGAGGACTGCCAGGTGATGTACTGCCCAGCTGAGTGATTAATTCTCAGTCTGGTTTCATATCCCCCGATTTGCTTCCCCGTCCCTAGTTTTGAAAGCCAATCTCAGAGATCATATTGCCTGAAAATATTGCCTTTTAAAAAACATTATCACTATATCATTATTACACCTTAAGAATGAATAAGTTCTTAATATTGTCTCATTTCCAGTCCAGTTTTCGTGGGTCCCGGATTGTCTCAAAAAACGACAGTTAACAGTCGGCTGTTTGAATCGGGTCCCTGAAAGGCCAATATATTGTAATTGGCTGAAATGCCTTGTGTGCCTTGTCTCACCTCTAATGGTTCCTGACTGTTTCCCCCTCATCCTAGTTGTTGGAGGAGGTCCCATGCACGTGGCTGGTTGTGCGCCTGGGGTGTCATTTATCTCGTGTCTCTTCCTGCAGGCAGGTAGTGGGTTAGATGCAGGGGCTGGATCAGATTCAGATGTGCTGTAGTGCTTCCTGTGCACTGTGTCAGGGGAGCATCGTCTCTTCTGTGAGGTCACTCTGATCACTGCATAATAATCATTTACCTACAGGCTTTAACATCCACTGGTGGTCATGTCTTAGACTGGTTAGCACTATAGGTTGGAAAAGGGTAACTTTGTAATTCTATCAATCTCTCTCTTTACCCATATCCTTATATACTGGAATTTCCTGGGGCTGGGCCCTGGGGTCTTCATTTACCCTCAAAGAGCCTGTATTTCTTCCAGCCCTGAGTTCTCTCCCAAAATCTAGACCTATGTGTCCTGCTTCCTAGGATGCTGATTCCTGCATGCTCCCTCCTGCCCCAGAACCTGGGAGTCCAGCCCTTCTTCCCTCAGACTCAGGAGCACAGGCCCCAGCACCTCCTCCCTCAGACCCAGGAGCACAGGCCCCCAGCACCTCCTCCCTCAGACCCAGGAGTCTGGCCTCTTCTCATTAACCATATCCAAAGCTGACCTCAGCAACTCCCTTTTCCACACTGTCCCTGTCTCACTGTCCCTTTGGTCACCAGGCCAGAGTCCTGTGCCTCGCTCTGCACGCCTCCTTATCTCTCACCTGTCAGTCCTGACAGGTAACTGACAAGCCTGTCAGTCCACATGCCCTGTTCTTTGTGCTCCCTAAACCTCTCTCTCTAGTCTGTCTCCTTTACCTCTGCACTGCCCAGACCTCAGATGTGGTCTCCTTTTCATTGCTTGGAGGACTCAGGAAGGAGCTGGTCTCAACCCCTCAAATCTATCTCCCTGAGGGACGATTCCACACCTAGCCCTGCTCCATCCTTTCAGTCCTTCCATGGCTCCCAGGATCTGGGCTCCACAGCCTGGTGGGCCAAACCCGATATGAGCTGCGCCCTGCCTGCCTTTCCATTGCCGTCTCCCACTGGCTCCCTCCCTCTTCCCTCCACCCCACATTCCTCCTCCTTGACCAGAGTTTGCCCCCTACACTTCCTGTACTTTGCAGCTTCCATTCATTTGCTTCATATTGTGCCCTCCTTCCAGACAGGCAGGGTGAACCAGACAGACAGGGTCCCTGCCCTCGTGGAGCTGAAACCCCAGGCAGGGAGGGCCTTGAATCTGGCAGGCCTGGTCCTGGCTGGCCTCTGTTTCCCTCCCCGTGCTCAGGCTGAGGCTAAGAGCCTGATTGTTCATTCAGGGTCAGAAGAGGCTGAGCCAAGAGCGGGCTCGTGTAGAGGGTCTTCGCCAAAGACTCCGGGAGGCCCAGGGACAGCTTGACTTGCAGCCGGAAGACCAGCGCGAGCGGCTTCTACAGAGAGTGCAGGAGGTGAGAGCCCTCTGGACCCTCTCAGGGACCCAGTGTCCAGGCCACTCAGGACCCAGTCATCCAGGCCCACAGTCCCCTCCTTTCCCACCCGTCTTGGAATTCAGGCGCCAGCCCCCTAACCCCCAGGACTCAGAAGTCTAGATCCTCAGGCTCCCCACCCTCACTGCCCAGGAATCCTGGCCCCAGCACATGACCCTCCTGGTTCCTAGGGATCCAGGCCTCCAGCCCTTTTGTGTTCCCACCAACAGATGAGAGAACAGCTGGACGTGGCCCAGCATGCCTACGAGGACCTGGAGTTCCAGCAGCTGGAGCAGGAGAGCCGGCGGGAGGACGAGGATCGCGACAACCCCGGGACCCGGGCGCGGGACCCCAAGATCCAGGAACTTCAGGCCAGCGTGGCGCAGCACAGGGTGGGTCGGGCCAGGCTGGCCCTGCCTCCCTCGCCATTGCCCTCTGCCTCCTCCATGCCATGTCTTGTCCCTTCTCGGTCCTCATGTCCTCCCTGCGTCCTGTTCTTCAGATTAGTAACAACAATCGCTGATGTTTATTGAGCATTTACCGTGTAGCGGGCATGGTCCTAAATGGTTCCTGAGTATTTAGTCATTGAATCCTTATAACAATCCCTGGAGACAATTCATTATTTTTTCCCATTTTATAAATGAAAAACCTGAAGGTCAAGGTGCCCCGGTTATCTTTTCCAAGGTCACTTAAAGGATAGAGCTGGGATGTGAACCCCCTGGAGTTCCACCACTATACTCTGTGCTTCTCAAGCCCTCGTCCCAAAAGATGCTCCCACCAGTCTTTTCTCGGAGCTTCATGTCAAGGGTCTGACAGGTCCTGCTGGAAAAAGCGACATCTTTGACTATATTTAAATACAAAATTTCCTGAAATTTTGGATTGGGAAGTTCTGACTTGCCTCTCCTCTCTCCACCTCTATTTCTGGATCTTTCTCCCGCCACTCTCTCTTTTCCCTTCCAGTCGCACACGGCTTCTGCCTGTTTCTGTTCTGTCTCTTTTCTCTGCATGTCTGTCTCTTGGGGTCTATTGTGGGCCTTCTTTTCTGTATCTAGTCTGCTTTGTTTTTCTATCTGTGCCTTTCTCTCTCTCTCTTTCTCAGCGACTCTCTCTGGGTCTCTGTCTCCCTCAGTCTCTGTATATCGGATCCTCCATCCTGCCAACCCACTCAGGTCTCTTTGGAACCCCAGAAGGGAAGAGGGCACCAGGGAGTTTAACCCTGAGTCCCCCACCCCTTCCCAGGCACCCAGGTCCCAGGGTCTCTGTCATGGGGTGGAGCAAACCCCAGGCTCTCAAGGAGGATGTGGTTCTGTGGGAGCCGGCCGGGGCCCCTGGGGCAGCTGAGTAACCAGGGCCCTGGGCTGCCCGCAGCGCCGGATCCAGGTCTTGGAGGAGCAGCTCAAGTTGCTGGGGGAGCAGATGGCGGCTGAGACCCGGGGACTGAGCCGGAAGAAGGAGGAGGCCCTTCAGGCCCTGACGCAGGTAAGGGTGCCCCAGGCACCTGTCCGCTGTCCTCACTTCCCCCGGGGGCACCCCACCCCTGCACCCCAGATGTCTCCTGGCGCCAGGACAGCTGCTGAGATGGCCCAGTGCGATGCCAAGGTGTGGTGGTCGCTGAGGTCTTGCCTTTTCTCCTCCCCTAGGAACGGAGCCGCCTGCTGGAGCTCAGTCACCTTCAGGGAGCCCCTGGTGGGGACTTCCCTGAGTCCAAACAGGCCCTCACTAAGGTATGGGCATTTCATGTACCTGTCCGCCTCCTCCTCCCTCAGACCCAATAAGCCAGGCCCTCGACCCCCTTGAAATCCAGGATTTTCAACCCCTGATCCCTTTTACTCTTGGGACCCAGGAGTTCAGGCCTCCAGACCCTCCTCCTCAGGGAACCAGCAGCCTCTGTCCACAGTCCTCCCTCACTGAGACCACATTTCAGCTCTCTTGAGACCTTAGCCTTTGTTTTTCCATCCAAGAAATGGGCTGGCACTGGAGGCAGGGGCCAGAGCATCCTTCCAGCAGTCACTCACCTTCACTCCTTCTCCTGCAGCTCCTGTTCACCCAGAAAACAGACCGCCAGTTGCTGGTTCTCCAGGACCCCACTGCCCACTCTGCCGCCGCCACCTCTTCCTGCCTCTTCTCCGTTCACAGCTCCCTCCAGGTGCCCCCCCAATGCCTCGGTTACCCCGGGTCTCCCTGGTCACAGGGGCTTTCTCTGCCATGGGGCTTGGGGGAGAGGGAAGGTTGATCAGGGGGTATTTTTATTTTTATCAGCCTCCAGCTTTATTATTCTTTTTCTTTCTTCTACCTAACACCCCACCCTTCCCTTGGAGAAATGGGAACGTGCCCACCCAGGTGTAAATTTTAAGTGACCAAAGAGGGCATGTTGATAAGAAAGCCCACAGCCCCCTCCCCAGAAGCAGTGCAGCTCCTTGTCTCTTGAATATCCTTCCTTCCAGAGCTGCTTAAAACTGGGGGGCCCAACGTATTAATGGGTTAAAACACTTGTTGAGTGGGTTGCTATCAATTTTTTAAATGAAATAGAGTAGGAGGAGGGTATAGCTCACTGGCAGAGGGCATGCTTAGCATGCACAAGTTCCTGGGTTCAATCCCCAGTACCTCCATTAAAAATAAAAGTTAAAAATTTTTTTTTAATGAAATAGAGTAGATGTGTGTGACGCAGGGGTAAATATGCATTGAAAAAGTTTTGTTTCAGTTGCATGGACATGGGATAAGTGCTTAGAAATTGGTAGCTTTTGTTATATCATGTACATTTTTTTTTTTCAAGAAAAGGCTGTCTTAGCTACTTGTTGGCTTTTATATTCTAACTTAAGACTCTGTCACGGAGATTGTTTCCTGTTGATACACTCAGATGTACCTCATCCTTTTCAATGACTCTAATGATAACAATGTCTACAGGAACAGTAATAATGACAGCTAATATTCGTTGAGACTTTATGGGGTGCCAGGTACTGTTTTAAATGCTCCCCATGGGTTCACTCATTAAGACTTTGCAGCAACTCTGCAAGCTAAGTTCTTATTTCCATTTTTAGATGAAGACACTGAGGCAGAGAGGTGCTGCTTCTTAACCAGCTAGCGATTTGAACCCAGGCACTATTTCCAGAGCCTATGCTCTTAATTACTCTGAACTTCTGTGTGGCACACAATCCTACATGGGGGCACTGAGCTACCCCTCCCTCTGCGGATGGTGATTTGAGGTTTTCTGCAGTTTAAGCAATACTGTCATAAAGATCTCTGTGTGTGGCTTTGTACACATTAATAATAACACTATTAATTATTATCGATTAATCACATTGTCTAGGGTAAAATACAATTGTTAATTATGTTGTCTAATATAATACGCAACATATTCTTTATTTGTTAATTAATATTAACAACACTAGTATTATTAATAATAATTTTTGAGAGCTTAATATAGGCCAGGGTCTACTCAAAGCCATCTTATCTCTTTAAACCATATGGAATTGCTATTATTTGGAAGTTAGAAACAGTCAAATATTGACAATTGACATGCTTCAACCTAATTTTATATATATGTATAGTATAAAATTATATATATTAATATATAATTTATAGAATTCATGGACATATAATTCAACAGTATATACTATATATTCATGAAATTATATATGTATAAAATTTTATTTTTTGCTCAGAAGAGCCTGCAGAAGTAGGTTCTATTATTATCTGGGTAAATGGTTAGCAGATCTTTCTAGCTGGTTCCCCTAGAAGGGTGATAAGGGTGGATTGTCAGCTCTGTTGCCAGGCAACGTGACTTAGGGTAAACATGACCCTTATAAGTGAATTGTGTATGTATAAATACTTGGTGGGAAGCCGTGTCCATTCCTACGGAGCCCTTCCCTGACTTATTGGCCCTTGTGGACATGGAGCTTCTAAGGCCAGGTGGACCCTATACCCACCAGCATGGATCTGGTACCCACCTTGCACCTGGGGTTGCCTGGGGGCCAGACACTGGCCCCTGGACACTGGTGGCTGTGCTGGGCACTCTTCTCTGTGCTTCACATGAGGTCACCCGGTGAACCCACGCATCAGACACGGCACGGCGGCGGGACATTACAGAGTGGGAATCTGCCTGAGAAGAGATGTGACTTGCCAAAGGCACACACCCAGTTTCACAGCGGAGCTAGGTTTGAACCAAGTCTGCCTGTTTCCACAGCCTGTGCCTTTTGGGAGATGAGGGTTTCTCAGGCATCCTTCAGAATCCAAGTGGGCACCTGATTAGCACTAGGTCAGAGGGAGCAACGGGAGTCCTCAGGGCACACAAAGAGCCCAGAGAGTATTTATTTACTCAGCCAGATAAACAGTAAACAGTGGCTAAATGAATGCAGGAATTAACAAATTGCTCTTCCTTGCCCCTTTCTCTCTCTCCCTCCAAGTCCTATTAAATCCTTCTCAAGTTCCACCCCTTCTTCCCAGGATCACATGATGCCTAAGTATACTGACTCTGCTTGAGTTCCAATACCTGTTCTGCCACTTCCTAGCCGGCTGAACTTAGATACGTGGGTGTGCCTCAGTTTACTTAGCTGCAAAATGGGACTAATAACAGCATTCATTGGTTAACTCATTTAAGTGCTTAGTGTTTGCCAGGCACACAGTAGGTGCTCAGTAAATGTGGGCTGCTATTGCTCTGATAACAGTTATAATGATTAATATTATTATAACTTTTATCATCCTTGTTCTATCCACTCCCATCCTGATCTCTGGTTTTTGTGACCCTATACCAGCCTCCTCAATGGTGTCTCCATCATCTTACTTTTTGTCTCCCAGTAATCTATTCTCCAAACCACAGCCAGAGTGGCTTTCATCCCTCCAACTTCACTTTCCCACCAAAAGCCTTCAGTAATTCCTCGAGGCCCCTCACCATGGCTCACAGTCTCCACATGATCTGGCCCCTGCCCATCTCTCATCATTCCTCCCTATATTCACTCTGCTCAGCTGCAGGAGTGCTGACCCACCAAAATGCCATATTTGTTCCTGCTTCAGGGCCTTTGCACTTGCTGATCTGCCCCTGGAACACCCTTTCCCTCAGTCTCCCCTGGCCAACTCTTATTTTTTGGGCCTTAGAGTTAATGTCTAGAAGGCTGTTTCTGTTCTTCCAGTTGGAAGATGATCCTTTTTTAAAAAAAAATTATTTATTGTGGTATAATTTCTGTACAGTAAACTACACATATTTCAAATGTACAATTTGATGAATTTTGATAGATGTAAGGGTGATCCTTTTTTATAACACTCTTCACTCACAGCAGTTTCTGACGATACACTTATATGACGGGTCATTCAGTTCCTACAACGGAAGTCCCTTGCAGACAGGGCTTGGGTCTCTCTACTCGCCTTTTTCCTCAGTGCTATGTTCTCTCAGCCAGGAATTGCGGGGAAGATCAGTTGAAGGAAGGAAAGTGTGAAGGGGTACAGAAACTCAGGACTCGTTTCCTCTTTATGAAGTGGAGCCAAACTTTCCTGACTCCCAGGGCTGTCAGAAGCTGAAATGGGCCTGCTGAGTGCCCAGTACCTTGTTAGGCACAGACTGAGCTCTTGATAAATATTGGCTATTTTTTTTTGATTGGGAAATTATCTTTTTTAACATTTTTTATTGATTTATAA